GGCACAGCAAACCTATAGGGGACAGCTATCCTGCAGAGAGTCCACTGGGGGCAACTGTGCCACTAAGGGAAGTGGCCAGCAGAGCTGAGGTGCCGCCATCTTGCCTGCCAGCAGACCAGTAAGTAGCCCTCCTGCTCCAAACCCTTTACCCCCTCCCAGTCCTTGGCTGCAGCGCTGGGGGTGGGGGGAGGGGAAGGAGGCAGAGTAAAAACAGGTCCCCGGCAGGTAGAGGGTGGCCTGGGAAGGGGGAGAGAAAGAACACCCCCCCGTCAGGCTAGGGGGGTGGCCTGGGAAAGAGAGAACACACCCAAGGCTCCCAGCCTCCTGCACCCCCTCCATACACATCCCCAAGACACTGCCCTGGAGGACCTGGGCAACACTAGGTAAGTCTGCTAGTCAAATAAATATTTATAACTGAATACTTAATATTTCCTCATTTTCTAAGTCACCCTGCAAGACAGAAAAATTAACATGCTTGCTTTGAGCTCTTCTCAAAAAACTCACACCAATTACATTCATTTTCCACTGAAAGCCTTCTGCATCCATCTATAATCCTCTCTAGAAAACTAGACAAAGCCAGATTATTCCTTTTTCTGATTGAGGAAAAGAAAGGTGGGTCAAAGTTTGAGAAACTCTGCTTTCACATGTACTTAATGCTAAGGGTGTACAGGTAACGGTTAACCGGCTACTCTGTAAGCATTACCCATAGCAGGTTAACCATTACCCAGGAGTAGCTCTTTGTTTGCAGCCCGCTGCAGGTGGAGGGCTGCTCCAGCTCCAAGCAGCTGGAACAGCCGGAATGGAGTAGCTCCTGCTGCCCTATCCTTCTAGGCAGAACCTTGGGGATGTGCCAAGACAATCAGAAGCCCTGGGAAAAGGACAGTTTGTCTTGTCTATGGTGGGAGGTGCAGAAGGCTTGGAGCCTGGGGTGTGTTCTCTCACACCCCAGGCCACCTCCCTAGCCCCCTCCAGGGCCCATACACTCTCTCCCCCCTCCCAAGCCACTATTGCTGCCTGCCTGGTGGTGGGCGGACAGGAGGGCCACTCCAACCCAGCAGGCTGGAATGGTCCCCTTTATCTGCCCCCATTTAATCAGTTAACCTGTTAAATTTAAGATTTAACTGGTTAATTAAATGGGATTTTATATCCCTACTTATTGTGCCATTATTAGCTCTTGAAAATGATGCTAATGAGAGGAAAAAATGATGATAGATGGATCCAGGACAGCTGGGAAAACAACAGTTGAGCAAGATCAGAAGTTTATTATAGAAAGCATGATATGAAGAGGTGATAAAATCTTAAGAATTATTACAAAAGAAAGATGAATGAGAGATTTGGCAACAAAATCTACTGGGTGGCCTACATTTTCAGACACATTGTAATTTAATCTTGCAGGCATCAGATCCAAGAGCAAGGGCTATCCCTGGACTAAGGTAGCTATGCCACAGCTACCACACTATGAGGTTTTTTGTTTTTAAATTATTTTAAATCATTTGAAAAATTACTACCACAGGATAAATCCCATAGAGAGCCAGTACAAAACAAGTATGATGGGACAGTAGCACCACACATGAAACCAGTAGACAGGAATGAGAAAGAAATGGGAGAAAATGTGTATATAGCATATAAATGAAGCAACTGTGTTTTTCTCCAGATATTTCAGCTCTTGTCCTTGCCCACTGGATTAAAGGTACTGGGTTGTTCAGAGTGAAAATATTAGCTTCGGGTCTTTATTTAAATCTCAATCTTCTCTAGTTAAGCAGTATCCACTGTATGTTTATTTCAATGCCCTCTCAACTTGTTTTAATTTAAAAACCTAGGTAATCTGGAATGGTTTTGAACCAAAAAACAAAAAGTGGAGTTACATGTTTTCAGAGGGATATCCATGTTAGTCTGTTTCAGCAAAAACAAGGGAGTCCTGTGGCACCTTAAAGACTAACAATGTTAAACCGTTTATAAACAAAAAAAGAGGACTTAGAAGCCCAGCCAGTTATACGGGGAAAATTAGTACAGCTGCATTTACTTCATGCTGCTTATGTCCCCTGAAGATTTGGCCCATAGTGTCTAAAGTCTTTTTACGAAGACGTGGCACATCTTTTTCTCTCAGCCATCAGATGGGTTTTCACAATTTCACACTTAAATATCTTCACTATCCAAAAATATGCATACACTTAATCGTGTTAATAAACACTTGAGCCCCTGAAAAACGTGAATTGTCTCAGTCCATTAGCCATAATAGTCAACAGGACAGCACTTTTGATACAGGTTAGGTGACTGCTACCTACTTATATGTGCCTCCTCAATGGCTTTGCAATGCATACTCTATCCCCTGCACAAGTAGACGCTATTATACTATCTGCTTCCTAGAAACCATTGAACACGGTAAAAGTCCCTTACTATAAAACACAACAGTCATTTTTTAATCAGATACAATATCACTTTTACCCGCCTTGCCTGTTTTGTCTAACTATGTCACAAGCATCCAGCTGAATCATCCTTTACTATCGCATAATACACTATTTTATTCTATTATACAAGAAAGCATAGTGCAGCTCTCCTACATAGGCATACTAATTTATTTCTGGTCACAAACTGGCTCCTTACTACTACTTCTACTCCTGATGGTTAAGAGGTTGAAGAAACAAGTTCTTCCCCCAAAGACTTTGTAGAATTTTCTTATCTTGTTTAATGGGAAAGGTCTAAGAATGACAAACTACACCAGTGAGTGCACTGTAACAGGCTTTCTGCTTTCTCAATTTCAAAGAAGGCCTATGTTGTCAAAAGCTGAATGAGACAATACTGTGGGAATTCAGAAATAACACTTTCAAGTGGCTGTTAACACCAAAATTAAAGAATGACTAAATGGATCCTATTAACTCTTAGTTTTATATCAAAATGTGACTAATAATGCTTATATTTCATTGTAAAGCACTTTGAGATTTATTTATTAAATACTCTGTATCAAAGTGCATTATTTATTATTGTGGTATTTCACTTACTTATGCTATATTTTCAAGGAAATCTGCAGTTCACAAGCATGTATCTCCTGACAGCTATATTGAGCTTGCCTGTGATGTTAGATGCTACTCATCTTTTATATCTGTATGCAATACTGCAGTGAAAACAATTTCTCGTGTCAAGCAATAGTTCTCTCAGTCCCCATATATTTTTATTTGGGGCAGAAACAGATTAAAATAAGTTGCTTTTGACTAACATTTCTCAATAAGTGTACAAGTACCTAGTCTACCGATGCAGAAGAATGCCCCTACACAAATGTTTGGAGCTCAGGAGGGAAAATTAATTATATTTAGGGATATTAATATGGGGCAGGAACATAAACATAATATAAAGCTACATGTCTTTCCCAAGCTCATCTTGCAGGTATGTAAAACTTCAAGGAGGCATTATGATAAAGTTTACTCAAGGACACATCTCTGGCACACCGTACAGCTACATTTGCATCGAAGTAACACGAATATTTTGGATCTTACTTCCCTCCACACAGACACACTCACCAAAACTAGTATTTTTTAAGGTAAAGGAATAGGAAGGAAACTGAGAGGTGCACCAGATTTTTAATACACTGCCACAAATGTGTGGCAGGAATCTGGGTGGCTACCTAAAGGCATTCTCGATTTAAAATCCCTTTAAGCAACTTGCATAACTTGTGCCAGTTAAGTAGTGGGCAACTGACCTGAATAAACATTGTTTTCTACTGTTGCAGGAAAACGTTGTCATTATACAGTGTTTACCGGCGACAAGTCTGTATGATCGGGAGCAAGCCCCTGACAAGGCTGCACTCAGCTACACTTAAAACTACAAGCAGCGCCGTCAATGCAAGAGCATTTGCATCTGTCAGAGACCAAGCGTGAGATGAACGCCCGGCAAACTCCACAGCAGCCCCGCCCCCGTGGGGTTTCAAGCACACAGCCCTTGGTCTGTCTACCCTGGGAGGGAGGAGCAGAATCTCAACCCCTCTGTAGTTGTTGCGGTTTGAGGGCGAAGAGGGATTTAATCCCACACAGGAGAGGGCTCGAAATGTACCCGGGATTTGCCTCTGTGCTGCCGGGCCCAGAGTTTGTGGCCGGGGCATGACC